TAGCTCTTTGAAGGGCTTTATGAGTCTATTTAAATTATGTAAACATGCTAGCATATTATTGATATTCTATAATTATCATCCATATAATTATTACTATAATAATCAGTTGCAAATGATATTGCTACAGATTATCCCATTTTATGAAACTAGAACTTCCCTATTCAGTTTTAAGTTTGGCAGTTATCATTTAGGTCATGGGGTGCTTATTTCTTCAGATATATTATTAGTCTTCCAGATCCCCCCAAAAAACACCAAATCATACTGAATTGTAAAATTCTACTCTTGAATAGCTGAGGAAATCTGCACTTTTACTTTTCTCTTCTTTTTTTTTTTGAAGTCTGTGTGGGACACACCCAACAGTGCTCAGAGCTTAGCCTGCCTCAAGTATTACTCCTGGCAGTCCTAGGTGGGCTATATGTGGTGTCAGAAATAAAGCATGGGCCAGTATATTCTGTACTACACGCATGACCCATGTGCTCTGATTCTCTCTTCAAATTAGAAAATCCATAGGCAAATAAAAATGTCTTCCTTCATCCTCAGCCTACCTTTTTCTCTCTGAATCTGCCCAAATATATAGATGATGGCATTTGGAACACCTGAATCTATTACACTGTCATGATGAGTAGTAAGTCGATTGATACATACATATTTATAGAGCAATTACAACAGAGGAAAGGGCATGAGTTTGATTCCCAGCCACACATTAATTTGTGCCTTTAAGCAAATCACTTAGGCCCATTAAAACTCATTTTATCCTACTGAATAATAATGCGAGGGAAGGCACTTTATGTACTAGAAAGCACTAAGCTCACTCACAATGTTCTCTGCAAGACACTGCATCCATAACGTTGATAACCAGCAGGAAGGACACAGTGGGAAACTAATATTTTAAAAAAAACAAAGTTTAGGGTATTCCCCATTTTCTCATGCAATTTATACGGTCAGTTGATTAGCTGAAATCAGTCCATTTTGACGACAGATGCTTCCAGCTTATGTTGAATTGTTTAGGAAATTCATTATGGATGCTATATTGGAAGATATTTAGGGGGTAAAATATTTGATTACTCTAAGCAAATATATCTCTTTCAGCTGGTGAATTAACATCTCAAAAGAGCCAAGTTGCTTGGCAATATCCCATAGTTCCAATAGCCTTTCAAACACTTAAAATAAAATTTGGTTATAGATGGCTCCTATGCACTGCATTTTTACTATGCTAGGGAAACCTCTTCACGGTCACAGTCCTCCCGTTGTTCATCGATTTGCTCGAGCGGGCCCAGTAACGTCTCCATCATGAGACTTGTTGTTACTGTGTTTTGGCATATCGAATACATCACAGGTAGCTTTCCAGGCTCTGCTGTGTGGGCGAGATACTCTCAGTAGCTTGCCGGGCTCTCGGAGAGGGGCGGAGGAATCGAACTCGGGTCGGCCATGTTGGCCGCTTATAAGGCAAATGCCCTACTGCTGTGCTATCGCTAAGGAAACCTCTTCATCACTTAAAAAATTCTTCAAACACAAAATCCTATATATAAAACACACATTTAATTTATTTATAAATTTGGGCTTTTGGGGTCACATCTGGTGATGCTGAGGGATTACTCCTGACTCTGCACTAGGATTGAATTCTGGCAGTGGTTGAGAGACCATATGGAATGCGGGAGATTAAACCCAGGTCAGGCGCATGCAAGGCAAATGCCCTATGCACTATACTACTACTCCTGCCCCTAAAGACTGTCACTGTCACTGTCCTTCCGTTGTTCATCGATTTGCTCGAGCAGGCCCAGTAACGTCTCCATTGGAGACTTTGTTGTTATTGTGTTTGGCCTATCGAATACATCACGGGTAGCTTGCCAGGCTCTGCTCTGCGGGCGAGATACTCTCGGTAGCTTGCCCTCTCGAAGAGGGGCAGAGGAATCGAACTCAGGTCGGCCAAGTTGGCTGCGTACAAGGCAAACGCCCTACCGCTGTGCTATCGCTCCAGCCCCCAAAGACATATATTTTAAATACTTTATCCTCTTACAATTATTTTCACAGTTATACATGGAATATAGCACAGCAGTAGGGCTTTTGTCTTGCACACGGCCGGCTTGGCAGACCCGAGTTTGATTCCTCCCCCTCTCTGAGAGCCCGGCAAGCTGCCAAGAGTATCTCACCCACACAGTAAAGCCTGGCAAGTTCCCTGTGATGTATTCAATATACCAAACACAGTAACAACAAGTCTCACAATGGAGACATTACTGGACCCACTCATGCAAATCGATGAACAACGGGAGGACAGTGCAGTGCAGACAGTGCAGTTCAGTCATCATATATGCACTTTTAATCATCTATTCAAAAGTATTCAAATTTATTATAAATTTGATATATGATCTTGTTCATATGTGGAATATAGAGAATCATATTAAGGGGAAAACAAATGATGAAGGCAGCAGAAGACCTAAGCTGTGTACAGAATTTAGCTTATGTAAGGGAGAGGACAGCAGACTGGGAAGGGGCCCTGAGACATTTGTGGAAGGAAGCAAAAGAGCAAAGGCTCTAGTGAAAGGTGTCATGTTGGAGTATCTTCTGCATAAAATCTTATCAAGAACAGTATTGTAAAGTACATTGTCTCAAGTAAAAAACATCTGTTATTTTATGATTTTATTCTAAGGATGGAATGAAAATTATTGTTGATGAAAATATTTTGTAGAACAGAGATAAAGAATAAAAGTACTATCGTTTCATTTTAAAACATCTCTAAATATATTTTCAGTGGCAGAGAGATGCTGATACTGAGAGTAGTTTTAATACTATTTTATGTCTGAAACATTACTATCTGTAATATTGTAACATGCTGCCTTAATAAAATTAAGACTTTAAGTAAATAATTAAAACACCCAGACTCAAAAGAATAAATTTTAAATATTAGCAAAAACTTTGACCTATATACTTATATGTCCAAGTATATGAACATAGACTAATTTGATTCTGTTATAAAATAATTGATAATTGATAGCTGTTTTATAGAGTTTAAGTGAAAGCATAAAGATAACTACATGAAAAAAAGAACAAAAACCTATAATGTTTGATTTCATTTTATCAATTTAGTTTTGGTTTAGGGGTCACTCCCGGCTGTGCTCAGGGCTGACTTCTGGATTTGGACTCAGGGTCACTTTTAGAGGGTCTCAGGGGACAATGTGCGGTGCTGGAGACAGAACTGGGTCTGACACACTCAAGGCAAGCTCCTTCCCTGCTATACTGGTTCTCTCTGTCCCACTTAAAACCTTTTAACTCAGAGTATTTTTAAATTTATTTCAGTAGCATTTTAAATGAGATATCAAAATGAAAGAACTCTCTATTTAGGAATTTTTAATTGTTTTTAATTTTTTTATTTTAATGAATCACGGTGAAATACAGTTACAGACTTACAAACTTGCACGATTACTTTTGTCATACAATGTTCGAGTACCCATCCCTCCACCTGTGTCCATTCTCCATCAGCAATGTTTCCATGTACTTTACAATACTGTTCTTCCCACTATCTCTCCCCCCACTCCCCGTGGATATATTAAAAAGAAAAAACTCTTTATGGAGCTGGAGAGGTAATGAAGCAGGTAAGTAGCTTTGTGTGCATGAAACCCACTTGGGTTTTACCCCTTCATCCAATAGGTGAGACCTGTCAAGAGTGATCTCTGAGTAAAGAGCCAGAAGTAAAGCCCAAGGCATTATTTGGTATCCCCTAACCCAAATAAATAAAAATATAAAAATAAAGAAACTCTTTACATGACATTCTTCATTAATTTTTCTTCCGCTTTCATTTCCTCAGACCTTCAACTTTCAACTCCTTCCTACACTCACTGTCCTTTATCCTACTTCTCACCTTTCTTGCTATTGCTACCTTGGTCATCTTTTTTACATTTTTTTTCCTTATACCAAACTTCCTGACTCTTCCAAATTCAGAAATATTTTATCCACATAAGAAAACTACCAGAAATCACCAGTTACATATTTTCAAAAGCAGTTAAGTCTCTATAGACTCTTCTACCTAAAAAGCCAAATGCATTTTGCAATATGTCATGTTATGTTAAGTTGACCAGACACAGAAGTCATTTCTGTAGGATTTCTTGTCAGTGTTTGCTTTAAGTTTGAGTTTCTGATCTCGGCTTCTGTTGCACCAGTAATTTGAAAGGTCACTGTTGTGTTGGCATTTGGTTTATGCAATGCAGTCTGGCAGTTTATAAAAGTCTTGTGACTTTGTAAATAAAATACTGAACTTCGAAAAGGCTTATTGCATTCATTCTCTGCTTTCTATTACTGTAAAAAAAGGCATTTGTTCTTGTTACTATTCAAAAATTCAGCATCTCCCTTCTGCCATGTCTGATACTTATTTCCAACACAAAATGTGACCATTTCTGTCTTCTGAATTGTCCTACCAAAAGTGACCAGATCATGTTTAGATTAATATGAGCATCAGTTCAAACATCAAATAGGATTTCATGGGAGAATTAATACTAACAACAAAGGAGTAAATGCAAGAATAAAATTGGACATAAGCACATCTTCAACTAGAATCAGGGAAGCTGGGAATACCAAATGGTATTAATTCTCAAATGGTTCTTATCATCTGTGTAAAAATACACCAAGGATCTGAAAAGAATTGATGACAAAGTGAAAGAAAAACAAAAACCAAAAAACTAAAAGGAAAATAAAAACCCTTTTTTTACAAGACAACGCAAGATTAATATCAGAGCCTTGGGTCAAAGTATTCCATAGCTGGATATAACAAATGATCAATAAAGTAAAGAAATATGAAATTTTTTAATTACGCAAAAGAAAATGATTGTTAAGTAGAACAGGAGGAAGCAGGCAAATGGAGATTTTAAAGAACATTTAATGTAAGTAACAAATTTAATGGAATAAGAAGATAGATAATAAAAATTGTTCTACCATATTATGTAGGATATGAGACATAACTATTATACAGCCCCTCAAAAAGTAGCAGTTATTTTTTTTTTCCTTTTTCACATCAGATGAGTAATGTATCAACTATGTATCAAGATTTAAGGGAGGCACATGTCAGACAAACATGCGAACACTGGATCATAATGTTTATGAACCAGAAAAGGATCCAGACGTTATTTTTTTGGTATTACTTTCTTCCAAGCTAATTTATGAATTTTATCACCTCGGGTAGGTCATTTGCATTGCATGCGACCGACTGAGTTCGATTCCTCTGTCCCTCTTGGAGAACCCAGCAAGCTACCGAGAGTATCTCTCCCATATGGCAGAGCCTGGAAAGCTCTCTGTGGCATATTCAATATGCCATAAACAGCAACAACAAGTCTCACAATGGAGACATTACTGCCCTAGATCAAAGTTGATGAGCAACAGGATGACAGTGCTACAGTGCTACAGTATCACATTTGTATCCCACACACATATTTACATAGTGTCACCTATACATATGTCTTTCAACAGAAACAATTCTACACTGCTAGTTGATTAAATAAACCTATGGTTGAAATTAAATTAAAGGATGTTCTAAAGAAGAATGATCAGATACTAACAAATTTCATATTCCTTAGGTGCTGAGAAAACTTCTATTGTTCATGGCATGGATTGTCATTGAAGATCCTTTGTTTGAAGCTATTCCCAGAATTGCTCAGGGACTACTTCCAGGTACCAACTCTGTAGTTGCTCTGCTCTGTGCTGGGAGGTCTCTCCAGGGCTATAAGCAGTGGTGGGGCTTGAACACAGGATTCCTGTGTGTAAAGCAGGGTCCCAGTCAATTGAGCTATCTCTTTGCCTAAGAGTTAACTGTTAAAAGCCCCTATCTCTTTATTATATAGAAAGCATGTATTTATATTTACTAGGATATTACCTATAATCATTCACATTTCTTCAAAATGTGAATTTTTTTTGTTAACCGGATTACCTACCCAAGGAAATAGTCAAACTGATTATTACTTAATTAAAAGTTCTGGTAATTACTGTGAGAAAATACCTAGCCATTTGCCTAGTTATTCCATATCATCATCCTGACATTTTATGATACAACATAGCACTGTAGCACTGTCCTCTTGTTCATTGATTTGCTCCAGCATTCACCAGTAACATCTCCACTGTGAGACTTGTTGTTTCTGTTTTTGGCATATCGAATACGCCACGGGGAGCTTGCCAGGCTCTGCCGTGCAGGTGGGATACTCTCGGTAGCTTGCCGGGCTCTCCTAGAGGGAAAAAAGAATTGAACCTGAGTCAGATCTGAGTCGGCCGCATGCAAGGCAAACACCTTACCCACTGTGCTATCACTCCAGCCCATGATACATCATAGAATTTTCAATTGGGAATTTGTTGCTCAGGAGGAAATAAGTGAATGCAATTCAAAATATGAATCAACTGAAGATGAATTCTAGACAATTTAATAACTTCTGATAAATTAGGCCTCTAGTCATCACACTTGATGGAAGTGAAGCAGATTCATGTTGTTAAGATATTTTTAGGATTGTGTATTTTTTTCTAGCTAAATATATAGGCGCTGTTAATTTACATATGTTATCAAGTGATTGGTTTTCTTCAACTCATATGCTAAATTTTCCTCCACCTGGCTTATATTAAGGCATATGACTTTCAATAGAAGTATCTCACTAAGGAAAAAATATAAAGCAAAGCATGTATTTTCTAAAAATAATATGGGAACTCACATCTTCCATTATTAACCTAGATTTGTCTTGTATATGTTTCGGTAATCTGAACTAAATGATTCCTGCCATTCAACTGTTATGTGCTGTTATTCTTGTTCTTGAATCATTTATCTGTGTAAAACTGATGCCATAAAAAAACGTAAATGAAGAATAGAAATGGGGAGGGAGGGAGAGAAAAAGGGAGAAAGGAAATAATACCTTGTTCATGATACATTGTCAATATTAGTTTTACTTAATTAGAAAAGATTTTTATTTGTCAATTCACCAATATTTCCAATTCCCTTTATGTATGAATCCTAAAGGATTTTAAAGGCACTTACAAGCTGCTTTTGGCAACGATTCTAGGTTTCATTGACTCACTGTGCATAATTAATTCTCAAATGCTCTTATTAAAATGTTCTAGGAAAGATTACCTAAAACTTCCTAGCCTTCTTAACAAAAGGAGTTTATTGTGGCCCCATTTTTTTATGATACCCTTATATATGCCACATAGTAAAATAAGCTATATTTTTGTAAATGTCATTCTGTTTTTCATCTTCACAATAAATTTCCTTAGAATGTGTTACTTGCGTAAACTACAAACTATGAACAAAACATGCTGAATGTGGATTTAGAGAATATAGTTTTGGTAAATATTCTAGAAAGAAAATGAGAAGTGAGAGTAATTTTGGTTGCCTTCGGGATAGGGTATGTGGGTATTTGACTGGAATTCTGGGTCAGTGTTTCCATTAGATATTTAAATGTGTGCACTTTAATAATTTAATTTTATTGAATGAAAAGACCACAGCTGATCACTGTAGCACTGTGTCACTGTCCTTCTGTTGTTCATCAATTTGTTCAAGCAGGCCCAGTCACATGGTGAGACTTGTTACTGTGTTTTGCATACAGAATACTACCCGGGTAGCTTGCCAGACTTTGCCGTGCAGGAGAGATACTCTCGGAGAGCCTGGGAAAGCTACCGAGAGTATACAAATTATCAGTTAAAAAACCTAGAGTGATCCAGAGTGCACAGGACTATGTGTTTTAGGAGAAGCCTGTTGCTCCATTCCACCCATGAATACTGATATTTGTGAAGGTTCGGGATTCTTAGAAATGGGTGTTTTATTTGCTGACAATTTATCTATATCCTCCTTATAAATCTAATAGTCTCACTTACAGTAGTACGGCACTTGTTTTACTGCAGTTGACCTTGTTCTGATCCTCAACTCCACATGTGGATGGCATTCCAGCACTGCCAGGGTTCACACTTGAGCACTGAATGAAGTATAGTCCCTACCCCCAACTGCTGGGTTTGTCCCCAAACAAAAATACCCAAAGAACCCCCTATCCTTATAACTAAACTATACTACTTATAATATTTAAAATAATTTATATATATAAACACTATATTGTTTAGGAAATAATGACAAGAAAAAGTTGCCCATGGTGAGTGTATACATAATATTTATTATTATTGGTGGTAAATTGAACCTCAGGATATAAAACCCAGAGAATATGAAAGGCTAACACTATCACATTACAAGTACTCCCCCAATCTCCCATTCCAAATCAATAATCAGTATACATATCTTATTTACATAAGTTCATTTTAAATGTTAATGGACTCTATAGAATGATACCATATAAAATACTATGTACTGTATATTCCCTGCAGAACTTTTTTTATTCAACATCTTATAAAAATTTATTATATCATTTCATGTATCAATAGTTGATAATTGCTGTGTATTGCAAGAAACAATCTTCTTCTCCTTCTAGAACTCTCAATTCTATCTAAAGTCTTTGTAAACAAAAGACATATTTACAACAGGAAAATAGACAAGTTAATTTAATACAAGTTTTGCATGACATAGGAAGTTTCAGAGCAAAGAAGTGATTCAACTTGAGCATTTTATTTTCTTGATTTGATAAGAGAAGAATGTCAGGGAAAATGTGATAGGACCATAAAATTTATGAACCATGTGTACTAAAGGAGGGAAAACTGCCAGGCAGCGCTGCTCATTCATGTTTCTTGTCTTTGGAGATAAGGATGCTTGTCTCCCCTGCAGATAAGGAGGGCACCTCATACTTGTGTCTTATGAGCTATATCAATGAAAGGCCAAGAGAAGCTTTCCTCACCTTCATATTAGAATTATTCAAGTTAAAATAATCTCTAGGCCAAGGCTTCATATATTAGTGTAGTATGTACAGAGTACTGTCAAAAACAAGACAGCCATTTTACTTTATGAATACATAAAACTTTATTTATTTTAATATTATTAGAAGATTCTTTAGTTTTTAGTTTGCGCTAGTAGACATTATATGGGTTAAACAATCTTGTAAATGTTATTTTTATCAATATAAGCATTCACTGATTTTGAGGGTATAACCATGAATGAAATCATTGAATCAAGGGATATAAAAAACTGAACTTTTGGGGGGACCAGAGCTAAAGTACAGGTGACAGGGCACTTCCCCGGCATGGTTTTAATCCTAAGTACCCCACCAGGAGTGATCTCTGTGTGCAGAGCCAGAAGTACGCCCTCATCACCACTGGGTGTGGTAGCCAATAAAAACAAAATACAAAAAATACATTGAGTCTCAGTAAGAAATTGACCAAAACACTTTCAGTGTAGTTGTTCATATTTACACTCCCATCAGCAGTACATAAGAGTTGCACACATTCCATATCTTTGGCAAGACCTGGAATTACTTTAATAGTTCCAGACATTTTGTATGAGTGTAGTTCAGATATTTTAGGGGAGTGGAATATTTTAGTGGTTTTGATTCTGATTTTACTAAGGATAATCTTATATGGTATAAACTTTAGGCATATCTCATGTATTTATTTATTTAATTTTATAGGATTATTCCCTGAAGAACTGTATCTATATATTGTCTGGTGAGTAATTGTGTGTGTATGTGTGTGTGCATTCATGTGTGTATGTGTGTGTGTAATGCACATGTGAGTATGATTATTTGTAACATTTTTAGAATTTTAGTATTCTAGGTATTATTTTGTTTCTTTATAACTTTGTGTATAACAGATGCAGAGGGAGGCATACTTTAGCTTAAAAAGAAGATACTACTTTCCTCTCTCGGGGCTGGAGCAATAGCACAGCGGGTAGGGCGTTCGCCTTACAAGCGGCCAACATGGCCGACCCAAGTTCGATTCCTCTGCCCCTCTCGGAGAGCCCAGCAAGCTACCGAGAGTATTCGATATGCCAGACACAGTAACAACAAAGTCTCCAATGGAGACGTTACTGGGCCCGCGCGAACAAATCGACGATCAACGGGAGGGCCTTTACCTTTACCTTTATCTTACTTTCCTCTCTTATGCAGATAAAGTAAGGGGTTTATCAAAATTTATTTAGAAGTTAGAAATGGTCTAAAGTAGATTGTGGCTTTTGTAAGACAAAGTGTTGGTCATATGTATTTAGCAAGATCC